GGAGCCCAACTACAAAGTCCATGGTGATCCGCTCCCACTTCTACTCTGGAATATCCATCTGCTGAAGCAAGCCACCTAGTCTCTGATGCTCATATTTCACCTGCTGACAATTGAGACACCGAGCTACAAATCCCACATTGTCCTTCTTCATTCTCCTCCACCAATAATGCTATCTCAGATCCCGATACATCTTCGCGGAACCCGGATAAATGGAATACCGCGAGCCATGAGCCTCCTCCAGAATCAACTCCCAAATCCCATCTATATTGGGCACACATATCTGGCCATGTATCATCAACACCCATCATCACCAATGGTCACATATCTGGCATCATCATGCTAAACTCTGTCCTTAAGGACAAGCAAATGAGGATCATCATACTGGTGCTCTTTGATGCGATCAAATAAGGAAGACCGAGAAATCACGCAAGCCAATACCTAACTGGGCTCCGAAATATCTAACCTCATGAACCGATTGGCCAAGGCCTAAAAAACAACTGGAAGAGGTCTCTCCCCAACTGGAATATATTTTAAACTCCCCATACTTACCGCCTTCCTACTCAAGGCATCAACCACCACATTGGCCTTCCCCGGATGGTACAAAATAGTAATATCATAATCCTTTAGCAACTCCAACCATCTCCGCTACCTCAAATTGAGATCCTTCTGCTTGAACAAGTACTGGAGGCTACGATGATCAGTAAACACCTCATAAGACACATCATACAAAGAATGCCTCCAAATCTTCAATGCGGGAACAATGGCAGCCAACTCCAAATTATGAACATGGTAGTTCTTCTCATGGGGCTTCAACTGACGAGAAGAATAAATAATAACTCTACCCTCCTGCATCAACACACACCCAATACCAACTCTCGAAGCATCACAATACACAGTATGTAAACCTAAAGCTGATGGCAAAACTAACACTAGAGCTGTTGTCAAGGTGGTCTTGAGCTTCTGAAAGCTCTCCTCACACTCATCCGACCACATGAATGGAACACCCTTTTGAGTTAACTTGGTTAAGGGTGAAGCGATAGATGAAAATCCCTGAACAAACTGACGGTAATAACCTGCCAAACCAAGAAAGCTACAAATCTTTGTGGCTGAGGATGGTCTGGGCCAATTCTGAACCGCCTCTATCTTCTTCGGATCAACCTGAATACCTTCGTTGGACACCATGTGCCCCAAGAAAGCCACTAAACTGAGCCCAAACTCACATTTAGAGAACTTTGCATAAAGCTTCTCCTCCCTCAATCTCTCAACACAACTCTCAAATGCTCCGCGTGCTCCTCCTAACTATGCGAGTACACCAGAATATCATCAATAAAAACTATGACAAATGAGTCGAGATAAGGCCGAAACAGGCTGTTCATCAAATGCATGGACGTTGCTGGGCATTGGTCAGCCCAAAAGACATCACCAGGAACTCATAATGACCATATCGGGTCCTGAAAGCTGTATTAAGAATACCGAGTCCCTGATCTTCAACTGGTGATAACCTGAATGGAGATCAATCTTGGAGAACATTCTCGCTCCCTGAAGCTGGTCAAACAAATCATCGATACGATGTAAAGGATACTTGTTCTTGATTGTAAATTTGTTCAACTACTTGTAATCAATGCACATCCTCATCGTACAATCCTTCTTCTTCAAAAATAGAACAGGCGCACCCCAAGGCGACACACTAGGCCGAATTAACCCTTTATCAAGGAGTTCCTAAAGTTGCTCCTTTAACTCCTTCAACTCCGCTGGTGCCATACGATACAATGGAATAGAAATGGGCTGAGTGCCATGCACCAGATCAATACCAAAATCAATATCCCTGTCTGGCGACATGCCCGACAGGTCTGCAGGAAACACATTGGGAAAATCCCTCACAACAGGAACAAAATCAATACTAGGAGTCTCTGCACCGACATCCCTCACAAAGGCTAAGTAAGAAAGACAACCCTTCCCAACCATATGCTGGGCCTTTAAGAATGAAATCACCCTACTGGGAACATAATCAGTCAAACCTCGCACTCAATCCGTGGCACACCCGGCATAGCCAATGTCACTGTCTTAGCATGACAGTCCAAAATAGCACAACACAGAGATAGCCAATCCATACCCAATATCACATCAAAGTCCACCATACAAAGCAATAATAGGTCCACTCGGGTCTCTAGACCCCCAATAGTCACCACACACGACCGGTACACACGGTCCACAACAATAGATCGCCCACCGGAGTAGATACACGAACAGATGAAACAAGAGACTCATAGGGCATATCCAAATAACGAGCAAAATATGGTGACACATATGAAAAAGTGGAACCGGGATCAAATAACACAGAGGCATCTCTACGGCAGACTAAGACAATACCTGTAATCACAACATCTGAAGCAATAGCATCGGGTCTAGCTGGGAGTGCATAGAAACGGGCCTGACTGCCACCTAATCGACCTCCCCCTCTAGGGCGACCCTTAGCTGACTGACCTCCACCCCTAGCTGGGTGGGTGGGTAGTGGTGAAGTAACTGGTGCTAAAGCCGATGACTGACTCCTTTGATGAGATGAACCCCCAAGACGACGAGGATACTACCTCCACATATGACCCAAGTCTCCACACTTATAGTAACGCTCTGGTGTTGGAGACAGGGATTGAGGGGAACCCCTAGCACCGGAATGACTAGCAGATGCACCTGGCATGGAAGAGCCCTGAGTTGATGGAGCACGGGACAAACTCTGGGCTAGAAGGGCATTGAGTCATGACTGGCCCTGATGAGAACTATGAAAACCATGACCCGATGACGCCCCACAGTAACCTGGGCGAGCTGACTGAGCATGTCTGAATGGGCGACCTTTGCCATGCTGAAACTGACCCCTCAAAGGAGCAACACTATAACTACCAGATCCCCAAGGCCTCTTGGCTTCCCTCTCATCTCGCTCCTGACGACGAACTGACTCAATCTCGCGAGCAATGTCAACAACCTCCTCAAAAGTAGCACCAGACACGCTCTCCCTTGTCATGAGAATTCGAAGTTGATATGTGAGGCCATCAACGAACCTTCGAATCCTCTCTCTCTCCGTAGGAACCAACCAAACAACATGATGAGCTAACTCTGAGAACCTTATCTTATATTGCGTCACGGTCATATCTTCCTAACACAACCACTCGAACTGCCTACGCAGCTCCTCTCTGCGATACTGTGGCACATACTTCTCCAAAAAGAGAACGGACAACTGTTGACAGGTAAGGGGTGATCCACCAACAGACCTACACCTCTCATAAGCCTCCCACCAAGTGAAGGCAGCTCCAGAAAACTGAAAAGTAGTGAAAGAGACCCCGTTGGTCTCCAAAATACTCGTTGTACGAAGAATCCTTTGACACTTGTTCAAGAAACCCTGGGCATCCTCGCCCTCTGCACCACTAAAAGTCGGAGGCTAAAGTCTACCAAACCTCTCCAACCTGCGTTGCTCGTCCTCTGGCGTAGCAGGAGCTACATAGTCTTGAGCAGCTACAACCAGCTGGGTTGGATGTGCCCCTGGTGTCTGAAGTCCCTGCACGATCTGCTCAGGTGTGCGAGCGGCGGGAGTCTGAGTACCTCCCCCGGCCTGAGAAGTAGCTGCGGTTGTAGTAACTGAGACCGCCTGAGCTAGGCCAGTGCATACTGACATAATCGGGGCTAGGGCCTCCTGAAGACCTGGAATCATAATGGACACAGCTGGTGCCTGAGCTGGTGCTGCTGGAGCATCCACAACTGGGACCTGATCCTAAATTGGGGCGGCTGGTGGATCTGCAGGTGCTACCCTAGCTGCTGTGCGGGCCACACCCCTGCCCCTACCACAGCCTCGACCGCGCCCTCGGCCTTTAGTGGCCACAGCTGGTGGTACTGGTGGTCTTCCATCCTGACCGATAGCACATGTCCTCACCATCTGTGAGAGAATAGAATAATAGAAGTTTAGTACTCGGATCAACAAATTTGCACGACAAGAATTTCAAGAATATGAAGTTTTCCTATAGGTTCTGCAACCTCCCGAGGATAAATACAGACGTCTCCGTACCGATCCACGAGACTCTACTAAACCTGCTCATGACTCGTGAGAGATATGTAACCTAGGTTCTGATACCAACTTGTCATGACCCCAAACCGAACCCGGTCGTAATGGCGTGTCACACCCCGTAAGTTTAACAACCTTGATATCGTTATATATATATATATTTGATATGGTATTTTGAGTGAAACTTTTTTTTTTACCAATGCCATAATATTCACGTCTCTGTAAAAAAAAAAAATTAGTGTATGTTTTAACTTTATAAAATTCCATGATTTATTATTAGTAATTGAATATTTCCAAAGTTCTATGTTGGGATGAAGACAAAATGATATTTTCTTTTTAAATCTTTCAAGGTGGGTTCACGTGGACTTGTTCCCATAATAGATATGTATGTCATAGTATATTATTAAACTATTAGATAAGAAGAATAAGTTTCTTGGTTTACTTAATCATACACTGTCTACTTCAATGTGCTATCTTTGCATGTGTTCACAAAAAGAGTTTTTATACCTGATATATGGTTTTGGGATGAAGTTACACTGTGACAAAGATAACTTCATATTTATGTATATATTTTTATATGGATATTTTACTGGAATAATAGTGTATGTATTAATTTTATATGATACCATATTACCATGATAGTAAAGTGTATTATAAGAAGTGGTAGAAGGTGTATTAAAAATAAGTAGAATTTTAAGTAATTTGGGATAATTTTTAAATTATGCAGGTAATTGATTAATTACCGGGTAATAGGACATTACCCCATTGACTAATAAGTGGATAAAATAAATTAATTAATTAACATCCCACCCCCACCCCACGTGGCAAAAAGCCACGAAATTAGAAGTGACTAATAGTCACCTTTGCCAAATGGCTAAATCATGGAAATGACTAAGCTTTAAGTCTTGGAAAACAAGACTTGTGATGATTAGTTTGAAGACTTTATATTTAAAGCCTGAAGAACCAAAAACGTTACTTTTGCTTTCTGATATTCAAGACTTCAAGCTTTACTATCCTAAAGTAAAGTGATAACCATATTTCTTGGTTTAAAAAAATCACTTGGGGAAAATAGTAGTCACTTGGTTTTAATAAAATCTGATTCTTAGTTCAAATTAAAATTCAAAGACATCTTGTCTTTGAAAACGTTACAAAGCAGAAAACCAATTTCGTTCTTGAATTTCAAGAGTTTCAAGCAGACTTTCGTCCATATTATGCAGAAGCAGATTCGTTCTATTAATTCCAGGAACAGGTATGTTAAGGCTAAATTTTCTTTCTTTTGGCATGATCCAAGTAACGATACGTAAACGTAATGCTATTCCATAAGTGGTTTTACTCTTAGCAGTAAGGATGTCTATGTTGTTCATTCTTGTAAAATGACTAGTGTCTAAGCACGCGCGTTGCGCGTGTAACCTATATTAATAAATATAAATTTCAAAAAATATTTTTGAATTATAAATAAAAATTAAATAAAAAAAATATAAAGTTCCTAAAAGAAGGCTACCTTTCACTTAGAGGCATGCATAGGAATTTAAAGAAATTTTTCTCGAAATCGTACTCCAGCTTTTGAAAACTCACAAGTAATTGTTAGAACGTTTGTGGTTATTGTCCTGAATATTTTGCTTATAATCATCAAAGGTATATGAAGGCTAGGGTATTACTGAGGCATCAAGTCAAATTACCTGCTAGGTTTATGATTGTACTTGACAACCTAAAACTTTTCACCACCAAATTTATTCTTACCAAGGATAAACTTTGTAAACTTTTCATTCATGAACTTCATATCTAAATGGAAAAAGAAGAACAAATAGAGAGTGGGAGAGTTGGAGGCTTCCGTGTGCTTGGATGAAGAAATAAGGTTGAATCTCACATACTAATAATATACAAAATTAATCAATAAATACTTTTGGAATACAAAGGTGTCAGAAGTTACAAATGATGACCTTTGAGTTTTTTAACGTAAGTTGAGTAATCAATCAGTTTTATTATCATTATTACTATCCTTCAGCTAATTAATCATAAGTTGTATTATTTCATTTATTTATGCAATGAAGATTTTAAACTGCCGAGAGAAAAAGAATGATTGAGTGAGAGAGAGAAAGGTAAGGACAAGATTGTCTTATGACATTCCGAATGATTTTATTGACGTACTTTTTATGCATTGCATTCATGTGCATTGACCCATGACCAGATGGCGTTATATACGCGTATATATGTAAATATATGTATACGGGATATGGGAAAAGGTTATGGCGTTATATACGCACCACCACCTGATCAGCTGGTATACGATTATGACTTTCCCCACAGTGACCGATATGATATGATGGGATGCCCTCAGAGGCTTATGATGTTATGAAACATATACTTATGCACAACATGACATTCATACGCATATGCATGACACTGAAAGTAATTTATGATTTACAAAGTTATTCGGGTTTATGGGTTGGGTCATGTACTCTATATTTCTTCCATGTCTCTGATGTACTTACTCATGTGCCTTACATACTCGGTACATTATTCGTACTGACGTCCTTTTTGCCTGGGGACGCTGCGTTTCATGCCCGCAGGTCCTGATAGAAAGGTCGAGAGCCCTCCAACTAGGCTATCAGCTCAGCGGAAGATGTTGGTGCGCTCCATTTGCTTCGGAGTTGCGTATTTGGTTAGTATGATTTAGACGTCTATTGTTTAGTATGGCGGGACTCTGACCCGACCTTTGTGACACTTATGTACTCTTAGAGGCTTGTAGACATATGTCATGTATGTAAAAGATTGTACGGCCTTGTCGGCCGATATCTTGGGTTTATTAATAATCATGTTGGCCTATTAGGCCCGTATGTCATGTGTATATGATAAGGTAATAAGAAAGATACGTTACATTGGTACTCGGTTGAGTAAGGTACCGGGTGACTGTCGCGGCCCATCGGTTTGGGTCGTGACATGGCGCCTCTCGTGAAACAAGACATGCCGGCACAAACCCTTAAGCCATTTAAAAAACAGTTATAATAATTGATTTTTAAGTCATAAACAACTATAAATCCCAAAGTAAAGAGTGAAATAGAACAATCGTGGAAATAACACAGCCCGACATTGGGGTGTCACCAGTCATGAGCATCTAAACATCTGTCTAAGAGTATGATAAAGACTACACAGTCTATTACACAACTAGTACAAAGGAAAGTAAAGATAGGAAGGGGAAGCACCGGACTGCGAATGCCAAGCAGCTACCTAGTCAACTCCGAACAATCTGCTGGAAAGCAATCAACCCTCGCTAGCGTGATCCGAGACTCCTGAATCTGCACACAGGGTGCAGGGAGTAATGTGAGTACGCCAACTCAGTAAGTAATAAAAGTAAAGGCAGCTGAGCAATAAGAAAATACGTAAAACATAGCAAAATGCTATAAAGAGGTAGTATAAAACCAGAACAAGGCAATAAAATAGTAAAAACTCGTAGAGACACCTTAGTTCAGTAAAAACCTCTTTAAAACATCTTTTAGCAGATAAACGAGTGAATGAAAAGCAATGAGAAAAGATAGACACATAAAATCAACCCCTCGGGCACAATACCAACAAAATCAGCCCCTCAGGCTATCTCACAATCACTCATATCACCCTCTCGGGCAATAACATGGAACAACATCAGCCCCTTGGGCTATATCACGTCTCACATTAGGTACCCGTACTCACTGGGGGTGTACAGACTCCGGGAGGGGACCCTTACGGCAAAGTGCAATAATAAGCCATCTCGTGTCATAATCAAACAGGCTCTTGGCCTCATATAAATCCATCTTATGGCGTAGCAACTCTGGTCCTCAGCCTCATAATCATGAATCGGTATAATACTACTGTGGTGCGCAGCCCGATCCTATAGTATCCTCACAACACAGGCCCTCGGCCTTACTCAGTCATAATCTCACAAGCCACACGGGCAACAGTAAAACATGATGCTTAGCCCAAAATATCATTTAAAATATCAAAAACGAGTAAAGATGGCTAAGTTGTGAAAACAATAGAATATAGCATGAGTGAGTACAAATACGAAGTCAAAACAGTGAGGAATAGTAGTAAAATCCCCTAAGGGTCCAAACAGTTGGCACGAGGCCCAAATATGACATTCATCCCAAAACATGACGATAGCAAATAGTTTTCAATCAAATACGCAGTTAAACAGTCATACGGGATAGACTAAGTCACAACTCCCAATGGTGCACGACCCCACGCTCGTCATCTAGCATGTGCGTCACCTCAAAGTAGCATAACGATGTGATATCTGGGGTTTCTTACCCTCAGGACAGCATTTACAATCATTACTTACCTCTATCCGGTCCAAACTCTAGCCCGCAATGCCTTTGCCTCTCGCCTCGGCCTCAACTCGCGTCGAATCAATCCAAAATCAGAATCATGACGTCAAAATATGCCAAGGGAACGAGGCCTATGCGAAAATAATCAAATTACAACACAAATCCTGAAATTAACAAAACCCGACCCCGGGCCCACGTCTCGGAATCCGATACAAATTACATCAATAAACTCTTTATCCTCCCACAAGTTCATCCATATCAAAAGTATCAAAATCCAATCACAAATGTCCCCTTAAATCCTTAATCAAGGTCTCCAATTACAAGCCCTAGTTTCTTCAATATTTACCCACCAATTTCCATAAATTTCAAGCCGAATCAATGAAATAACACCATAGGAACGAGTTTTATGTTCAAAAATCTTACCTCAATGAAGTTCCCTCTGATTCCCTCTTCAAAATCCCCCAAAAAGCTCCAAAATCGATTTAAAAATGGTGAAGAAAGGCTGAAAATCGCGAAGGATGAAATATACACTTTTGACCCAGGGATTCCGCACCTGCTATCCTTTTCCGCTTCTGCGATCTAATTCACTGCACCTGCAATTTTCACTTAAAGGCCCAATTCCGCATCTGCGACAAAACGCCCGCACCTGCGCTATCGCTGGTGCGCTCCAGTAGCTGCTTCTGTGGTTCCAGCTGACTTCCCTCTTGGCCACATCTGTGGCTTGCCTTCCGCTTCTGCGGGCATTGCACCTACGGCCTCCCAACCGCAAGTGCGGTTATGACAACAACAACAACTTCAGCTGCCAAACTAAACTCCAAAATCTCCCGTCAACCATCTGAAATCACCTCGAGGCCCCCGGGACCTCAACTAAAAGCACAGACAAGTTATATACCACTATCCAAACTTATACCAATCTTCAAAACACCTCAACCAACATCGAATCAACCAAATCACATCGGATTCAAGCCTAAGGTTCCAAAAATCTTTCGAATTCCGCTTTTGATCAAAAGTCTATCAAACCATGTCCGAATGACCTAAAATTTTGTACACACATACCAAATGACACAACAGACCTATTGCAACTCCCGGAATTTCATTCCGACCCCTATATCAAAATCTCACCTATCAACCGGAAAACGCCAAAATTCTAATTTCGCCAATTCAAGCCTAAACCTACTACAGACCTCCAAAACACGTTCCGATCACCCTCCTAAGTCCCAAATCATATCCCGAAGCTATCCGAACCATCGAAATTCACATCCGAGCCCTTTTTTGCATAAGTCAATATCCGGTTAACTTTTCCAACTTAAGCTTACTCAAAAGAGACTAAGTGTCTCAAATCTTACCAAAAACTCTCTGAAACTGAGGCAGCCAACCCGGTAACATATAATACAGCTGAACAAGACAATAAGAAGCAGAAATGGGGGAAACAGAGAGGTAACACATGAAACGACTGGCCGGGTCATTACATTATTTCTCCAAGGAACTCAATAAACCAAAGATCAAAAGCTCGGAGTGTCTCCTCTGAAGTTCTATTTGTGAAGCGTGAGGATGGTGCTCGAGATGAAGTTTTAATTTTTTTCTACTCTTTAACTTATAAAAGGGTGTGGAGTATTGAAACGGTATGAGCCTATGAGGAGTCATTAAGAAAAATGAACAAATGTTTGATTTTTTTGGAGTAGATAATAGATTTGCTGTGATGATTAGAGAAGAATGGGGAGGATGAGGAGGCATATTGTAGGATGAGGAAGAAGATATAGAATATAAACAGAAAAAGAGGAAAAGAATAGAGAAAAAGGGCAAAAAAAATCTAAAAGTACCGAATAAATAATAGAACATAGAGAAGAAGGAAGTGAAATGTAAATGTTGTATACGGTAAAATCGGAGGGTCTAATTTTCCATCGTTATGACACCTCAAAGGCTCGAAATTATGGTCGAGTTTCATCCC